CCACAACCTGGTTAATCTGGCTACCAGAGAAGGACTCGTGCCTCCTCTCTTTCAGTCCTCTCCTAAGCAACACAGAGAATTGCTGCCACCAAGTAGTGGGCCATTTCGCAAAGTTCTTGTCTTCTGATCCATCTTGAAAATGGCTGGAGTTGGTTTCTTGAAGTTGCTCCCCTTGAAGTTGAGCTTTCAAATTATATAAACGGTTGTGCTTATAGGCCAAGGCTAGGCTCTGCTTCACCTTGCTTTTGTTTTCATGCGATCCATTAGGTGCCAGACCTGCACTACATATAAAATGCAACAAAAATTACTCACACAAACAATTTCACAAACATCTAATATACACTTGTAGACACACTAGCCTGCACCATGGCGCACTTGTAGGGTAATCAAAAAGTAAAACTAACATCTAATATACACTTCACACTAAAATCCTATATATAGCAAACATGGCACAAAAGAATAATGAAAAAGTAAAACTATAGCCAAAAAAATCACACAAAATTACAACATTGATGATAGTTAGTGCATTTTTCATGAATTTTGAATAAGAATAAATTCCCCAAGCATATCTGACAATGCTACAAACATTTCCCAGACAATTTTGGGGTTTCTACTCCCCAAACATAAGAATAAATTCTCAGGTTTTAGCCTAGTGAAAAAGGTCATTGACTTGTAGAGCATAAGTCTCAGGTTTGAACTCCCATGACATTTTGGTTGTGTGTGTATGTGAAACTCCTATTCTTTTTAGTTTAGACTATCGCATGTACTAAAAACAAAATAGTAAATTCTCAGTGGTCCGAAATTGGATTTCCTAGAAATTTATTCAACACTTTGGGAGTTTGAACAGTAATTAACTATGGCCCAAAGTCAAGGAAGTCACATTGAACGAAGAGATGGGCCTAAGTTACATGCAATTACTGATCCAATGACCCATAACCCATGCTTGCATAAATCTCAGGATTTTGACAGCTGAAATAAAAAATGAAGCTACTAATTATTAAAAAAGAAACATACCATTGGCAAGGTCCAACAGAAAGTCCGCAGGATTCATAGCTACCAATGGGACATAGCCAATGCCAGAAAAATAGTCCATGACCTCCGATACTTTTCCGAAATACAAACAATTCCCTTCCGATAACAACACCACCTTATGAAACATGTAGAAAATCCTACTTGAAGGTTGATGTATGGTCATCACAATTGTTCTTCCTCCACTTGCCAAATCCCACAATGCCAACACAATCTGATGCGCCATCGTCGAATCAAGTCCCGACGTGGGCTCATCCAAGAAGAGCAAGCTAGGGTTTACGAGTAATTCTTGGCCTATGCTAACCCTTCTTCTCTCCCCACCCGAAACACCCCTCAAGAACTCACCCCCAACAACGCTGTTCTTGCACTTGGTTAACTCCAGTTGTATAATCACGGCCTCAGCTTGCATAGCCTTCTTGGCTTTCGATAGCGTGTTGGGCAAGCGAAGAAGGGCTGTGTAGAATAAGGTTTCGGTGACCGTCAAGTGGGGGTTGAGAAAGTCGTCTTGGGTTACAAAGCCGGTGTTTCTTTTCATTGCGTTTGAGAATGGTTTGTTGTTGTAGGTTATGGCGCCACCGAGGAGAGTCATTTCACCACTCCCGAAGGAGCCGAGAATGGCGAGGATTTTGGCCGTTTGAACCAGGCATGAGACACCCTTTAAGATCACTTTCTCTTTGTTCTTAGTACTCTTCTTCATATTGATATTGTAAATCAAGTCTTCAATGTAACAAGTCGAATCGTTTCCTTCAAGATAGTTGGGGCTTTAGAAGTTTTAATCCTTCTAAGTCTACTTGTGTTTGGATACCATCGGCAGCAAGATCAACCGATACAGTTTTAGAGCCTTTTGAGGCTACCTCTAAGTGATAGTACTTTACTATAAGCCTATTTATTAAAATTATTGAACCCAACCAAGCCCAAGTCCACCTTGAGTTGGGTTGTGCTTTGGCCGGGCTCGTGCTTCGGCCAAAGCAACATCCCATTTAACTTTAAGTTTGTTTTACTTTATTTTTTTGAACTCGTGTTAACATATTAAATTAATATTATAATATTATAATATGTTCATACCTTTCTTTAATAAATTCAAAAGACGGTATGTTTCTTATATGCATAATTTTGTGGGTTCTCTATTACGTTAAAACCTATTTTTTGGGAGGGTAGGCTAGGAGATGTGGTTTATGTTAAGTGGGCCTTCATGAATAAATAAAAGTTAAGCGGGCGCGAGGCTTAAAGTTGGCTTGGGCCAAGCACGGCCTATGAAGGGCTCTCGGTTGCGGGCTGGTCCTGTTTAACTGGATTTAATTTCTTATCCTGGCATGGTTTAAGCTTTAGTGTCGTGCCTAATATGGCCCACTTGGGCCGTGTAAAGCGCCATTTAGACAGGTTGGACTCGTGTCATGTTGGAGTGACCCTTCCCATTTGACATCTCTAAATGGGAACACACTGCATAAGGTTTGCTGCATGCCTACTATATCTTTAATTTCACACTAATCTCCTATCATCTTAATTCAAGAAAGAATAATAGTCAAATTTACAAGGTTACAAGGAATAGTTCCTATTTGGTCTTCAATTCATCCAAGCATGAAATTAGCATTCAAATCAAACTAAAGCAACTTTATTATGTTCTCATCGCACTTCGGCTCCTTAAAACTTGCTCTTGCCAACGAGCCATAACCAGTCAAGGGAAACACCTGCAAATATGCCGCACAAAAGAAACATCACAAGTATATTTCCGAAGGCATTTTGCTCTGGTCCATCCAAATAAAAGAACCCAAAGACATTAATTAACTTTCATGAGAAACCAGTAAAAGTAACTTATATTAAGAACGGGTTATGAACCATGTTGATCAACCTTGTAACCCTTGGGTGCCACTGTCATGACACAGACAGTGAAATAACCATTAATCATAAGATTTATGTGAGGAAGATCATCCATCCCTGGTTGCATATTTTCCAGTGAAGTAGTATGTTGGAACGAACATGAGACACAATAGAATTGCATCATGGGGCCCTTCCTCGATTCAATCTTCAGACATTTCACAAGGGGTATGTATCTTGATATCAAATCCAACACATTGTACATTGCCACAAGAACAAGTGGATACTTGAGACCAGGCAATGACACCAAATTTCTTATTTTGTAAATTAGAAGGATGAATTAGTAATATATGAGATTATGAGCCATATTTACAAGTCTGGTCCATTGATTTTCAATGCCCGGGGCAAAAGTAAAAAATGAGGCCTTTTTTGTTTAACACTTACCTCATTTTGAACAAAAATTATAACAAAAAGTTTCAAACTTAGGTGATAAGTAGGTTAGTTTAAGTTAAAATAAAAAAATTACCCATTATATGAAACCCCGTTATATGAAAGATAAAGAAAAAGGCCCAAAAAAGTTCAAAATAAAGTCCAAAAAGCATTACTTCCAACACATAAAAGGTATTTTTCGCTAGTATTCTTAGTGGACCGGCGGTGTTGGAGGCCCTGTGTCATCGCCCAGCCCGCACACCCTATGGGCCGGGCCTGCATACACTACAAGGAAAATCCCTTTTAGCGACGAAACCAGTTGGTCGCTATTACATGATATTTCGTCGCCAAAGATAAATAGCGACGAATATTTTTGGTCACTAGGGTCGTCGCTGCAAGCTCGTGGCTAAAAGTACCATGCGACGAAACAAAATTTTGTCGCTAAAATAACTTAGCGACCAAAACACGTCGTCGCCAATTAGCTCCAAGTTGGTCGCCTATAGAGAGGGAGTTGCCGCCAAAAAACCAAAAATTCCCGCGAAATGGAATTATTTAGCGACGAAATATATGTTTGGTCGCCAAAGATGGGAGTTTATTTGTGGAATATGTTAGTGGGTTTACTGAATGGGCGACGAACAGATTGGTCACTAAAAACTGCTGTCGGATTGAGCGACGAAAAGAAATTCGTCGCCAAAAGTGTATAGATTATTTTTTTTGAGAGAAAACAAGCATTTGAGAGAAAAAAAAAATTGGAACTTACCATGTGCCCAGTTGGTGTTTCTCCAGTATTTTCACATATGAAATCGGAGAAGACTGATAATGTCAGCACTGTTTGGGCCCAAATTTGGCACGCCGAAAACAAAAGCCCACACCATCTCCTAGGCCGCTTGTTTCAGACGACCTCAAGCCCATCAGCACGACCCAGCCCATTAAACGAGTGGACAGGCCAAGAACAATAAACCTGGCCCAAAACGTTAAGAGGCCTGGGAACAGTGGAAATCAGAAAGCAACTTGGGCCTTGGAAGAACTAGAATGGGGCTCAAAACGCAAACTAAACCCAGCTGATCTTTTAAAAACAATCCCACGTGATCCCTGACTAAGAAAAGTCAACAAAATCGGCTGAAATCAAGATTGAACAGGAGCAGGTATGAAAGAAGGACGTTTCTGAAAAACTCTGTTGCCAGGAGACCAAGCCCCGTTTTGTTTATTCGGAAGATATCCTTCTGCACCAAAGAAGGCGCCATTTTCAAAGGATAAGCACACGCTGTTTCTATGAAAAGGAGATAAAGCGGGAAACAGGGAGTTGTTTAAAAACTGGGAACTTGCCATCGCAAGCTTCAGACTCTTGCAAAAGCAGTTGAAATGGAAGAACAGTATGGCACCCCATCAAAACGCAGGGAAATGATCACTTCAAGAAACTAATTGATAAGTGCTCGCATGCCAGAAAATGGATGGAACCCCTGTTTGTTTTAAATTAAAAATTAAAAAGATCTTTTGATTACTTGCCGCCCACTTTCAAAAGAACATTTCATATATATATAAGAGGGGGTGAACAGAGAGATGCAGGAGCATCCCAAGCCAAACTAGGGAAGCCCAAGAGATCAGTCAAACCTCCTAATTACCTTAAAGATTATTTCCCAAAATAAATTAGGAGACCTTTCCTACTGCTGATTGACTTCCTTTTATATTTTCCTTCTGTTTTGGTTTTCCTGATTGTACTGAATTATAATTCCTTATATTCCTAGGATGTAGTTGTTATTTAAACCTTTCTCTTGTAGACCAATCGGACAGATTGAAATTGAGAATTTATTCAGAAAACGCAGCTAAGTTTAGCCGCAAATTGTGAGTGTTCGTTATATATTTCTAGTGTTGGTGTAGTTTCGTTGGAGGTTCGTGTTTGAGATACCATCTCCCCATCACTCCAAGTGCGGTTAGGAGAGTCGTTTTGCCGCTCCCGGAGGGGCCAAGCATGGCGAGGATTTCCCCTGGTTGAACGAGTCCCGAGACACCGTTTAAGATCACTTTCTCTTCGTTCTTGGTACTATTCTTCAGTTTGACCTTGTAAACCACGTCTTCAAACTGTGTAAATGTGATTTAGTTTTTTTAAAAAAAGTGAGAGAAGACACCATTTTTCTACATATATATACCTTCAATGTGACGGGTTGAATGGCTTCCTTGAAGATAGCTGGAGCTTCAGTAGCAGTTTGAATCTCTAAATCCAACATTTCTTGCTCCATGCTTGCGTGATGTTGAGGTCTCTCTTTCCCTCTTTCCATTAAGCTAAAACCCTCCCTCTCCCAGTGGCAGCCAAGAACCAAAAAAAAAAAAAACACCTCTACGCCGCCCAGCCAGCCAGCCACATTATATATTCTAGCTTCATGCCTTTTTTGGTCATCATTATATAGAAGAGGATGCTTCTGTTCGTGCTATTAATAAGTTTCCTTTATTTATATAGTTACTCTTTGTGCATGCATGATTACGACTTTCAACTGGATTTTTTCATCTTTGGTTTCCATTTACTAATCCAACAACAATCTTTGGTTTCGATTCTCTCATATATCTTTGGTTCCCCACATGTGTATTTTCTATGTCAAATCCGCTTGTACAGTTGAGTTTATTAGGTAAGTTCCGCCCAACCAGCTTTCAAATTTTGGATTTGCCACTACTCTCCCTCACAATAAAAAAAACCACTCTTTTTTGGAGTTACATCACTGAACGAGAATTTCAAATTTAATAGCTGATCTCTCTCTTTCTCTCTCTCTAAGCTAAAACTCTCCCTGTCCCCAACAATCGAAAACCACTCTCGCTTTTGGAGTTACAGCTATATCCAATTTAAAAGTTGTTCAATCATAATATAGTTTATCGATCAATATTCTCACGTTGTCCTCTTTGGTTTTGCAATTACCAAAAAAAGGGATATGCGGTATTACTAAGTAATAGCCTGTCAACACTTTGAAAATAAAGTTAACCATTGTTGGACTCCTGCTAAACAAGAAAATAAGGATCCACTGAAAGCAATTCTAACTCCATACACAAATAATGACAATTGAATGATAACAATTCCGTTGATAAAAGCAAGACTATTACACTTATTTTGACAGCTCCCTCATTCACAAGCCATTTCGTTGATAAAAGCAATTCCGTTGATAACAATTCGGTTGATGTCGGCCAGAATGACGCACGCAAGCAGCAGAGCAAGCAAGCACATACAAGCCATTTCACTAGTTCTGTAGTCATTCTGCAACCTTAAATCATACTAACACCTAGAAACTGGCCTTCACAATAGCTTACATCATCAAATAATAAAATAACACAAATTCTAGACGCCACCAGCCTTTTATTACCACCACCACCAACAGACAGCATAGGCCGGTCTTTCTTCTTCTTTTTGTTTCTTATTGGTCTAAGCAATTTGTGATCACCCACCAAGTTCATTTTCTTGTATTATTTAATAAGAAGACATATACAATCACTTATGAATAAAAATTTGAGACTATTATGCATACCTTGCTCTCTGCATATCTAAGCTCCTAATGACAGTTTGGTTAGTAGCATTCTTTGGTTGTTCTACCTGTAAACATGTTAGACCAAAAAATTTATTATCTATTAATTACAATAAAGATAAATAGTACTCACATACTTGGTATAAAAAAATAAAAAAAATAAAAAAAAGAATTTAGCGTATAGAGAGTGTAAGTATGAAAAAGCAAAAGAGAGTGTAAGTAGAGAAAAGGGGAGTGGGAAAATCAGCTCCCTAATTAAATTAAGAAATTGTTAATTTAGTCATTTTTGGGTTTTTTTTTCCCTCCAACTATCATGTATGAAGGTTTCATTAATTAATGCCTTAATTAAACCCAATCAGCTTATACCGTCGATCCTCCAACCAACGGCCAACATTTTTTCTGACCGTTTTCAATGTTTAAAATACAGATCCAATGGTCCAAAATAAAACCTGACTGTAAAAATATTTAAATAATTATTCTAAATCATGTTCAACCCAAAAACTCATCCCAAACTCAGAAATTATTGCAATTAAGAGAAATAGAATTATTGCTATATATTGTAAAAAGGGCTTCTAGCTCAATTGTTAATATATGTTACGTATCCTAAGGTTGCTTCTTCTTTTTTATTTATATATATATATTTTTTATAATGGGGTTTCTCACTTAAATTTCTTTTGATTAAAAAGCAAGAAAAATTATTACAAAGAGACATTTATAGGACGATCATACCACGACATCATGTTGATGTGATATGACTATCTACTTAAAGAGCACTTTTATATTGCAAAAAGAACTTCTAACTCAAGTGATTAATAGCAGTTACTTATGAACTCAAAGTGCTCCTTTGCTTTATATGTTCGGAAGCCTCACTCATAGGTTAGCTAAGTTTGCTTTCTCTATTTTGGGTTGTATTGATTGAGGATCTTGATTTTATCTAACAGGGCCTCATGAAGATTATATAGCTTGTGGGATCAACCTTCTTGCCGCCCTTGCTGTTATCAGTTTAATTCTTATGATCCTATTACTTTCATTATTTCCTGTAAATAAGTATATATCACATTAACAAAAAAGTATATTCCTTCTCACCTATCGTGAATAAGAAACATTATCCTTTCTGTAACTTGCATTGCACGTATGTTTATATCCTAGGTTAAGAAAAGCTAATGTGCAACCTGGAATTCTATTGATCCAGCATGTTGAGGCCACCAACCTAAATCCAACTTTTTCTTTCAATAATTACTACTTTTTTGAATCTGATTAATATAATAATGTTTTGTGGACTAATATTTTCCTTAATTAATTGCTCTTAACCACTCCAAAGCATTGCTGCTTCGATGGATAATTATTTTTTTTTTACTCTTGAGGCACAAAAATATGGATGTTCTAGAAATGATTAAGTAGGCAAGTTTAAGCAGTTTTTCCACGGTCAACTAGCAAGCTAAGCGAGAAAGATCTTTTATCACATTGTTCAAGTAAAAAGATTATCTGTAAATTAAGGAAAGAGTCTTAATTTCACACTATATATAATATTGGAAAGGAATTGCTCAGCTTGATGAGGAAAGTAGAGTGAAATAAAAGTACGTTTGTGGAAGGGTATCGTTGCCACAACTCCAGAATCAGAAGGCTTAAAAGGGTTTCGTTACTTGATGTGTTTATAACAATCATCTAAAAACAGGAAAATAATCTTTAAACACAATAATCGATCAAGCATTAGGAAATAGTAAAACTAGATTTTAACCGAAAAGATAAAATTAACAGCTTGAAACTCTCTACGAAGCAGCTTCGAAGGTCTCACCAGCAACAAGCTCAGGGACCTCGTCATCATCATCCTCTTGTGGAGTGATTCCACCAGCAGCACCAGCACCAGGGGCTTGCTTCTGGAACTGCTCTGCCAGTTTCATCAAATTGTCCAAGTCCCTGAAAATAATTAAAGGTGTCATGAGGAATTCTCCAAGTCCTCTTTAACTTGAGGACTAAAGCAAGAACAAAATATAAGGATCACATGCACACTTACCCAAGCGGCTGATAATATACTGGGAAGAATATCTTGCAACCCTACAACAGAGAAGATCATATGTCAAGTTCTAAACCAATATGACCAATATCTAAAGAAGGCCAAATAAAAGGCTCAATGCGCAGCAGAAAATCCAGGCACAAACACATCTAAACATGTATTTATGTGCGTTGTCTTAACAGATAATACAACACTGAAAAAAAAATTCCAATTCAAGGCACAATTGACAGCTAAACCTCGGAATAAAATCATTGAGTAAATACACTAAAGAAGAACACAACACCAATATTGTATCCATTTTTATAAATTAATAGTACATTTAAAATATGGAAGACACCAAAATGGTTAACAAGTTAAACAATCACTTCAAATTTAAAAGATAGAGAACAACTAGTGGCATACTCTTTGTTTCAACTGAAATGTACAAGGAAAATCAAAATAATAATTTACAGGATCAGAGTTCTGGCATGTTAGCTTCACCTCTGGGGTTTATGAACTGGATGAAAACATCATCCGTAAATATGTTAACTTCCTTGATTGCAGGAATAGCGTTCACCCCCTATTCTCTTAATGGTGCTCTGAAGCCTTTTGTCATCTGCGGTAGTTGTCTTGTGAACAGTCTTCTCCTTTCTGAAGTTGGGAACTGAAATTAATAAACAAAATCACGTACAAACAAGATGAAGATCATACAACAAACATGTCCTAATTACAAACAATTGCAGGAATGTGCAAGACTTATGACCGAAAACTAGTCATAAAATGACTTCAAGGGCAGTCTAAGTCCAAATGACCATTCCCCGACAATGCTTTGTACATCAGAAATAGCATTTTCTCCACAGCAGAGAGCACTACATGGCTTATTTGAGGTAAACTCAAACAATTCTCAGTTTTAACTACTTGAATTACTTTCTCATTTTTTGCCTACTCAATTGATTAACAATCCTATCTAAAGAGAAGAAGAACACAGCATTAGATAATATCGAAAACAGAAGAGCAGAAGAACCCATCACACTCTCCACTAGAGTAGGCTCTCTACTGGAAAAACAATTACACTAAGTCTATTGGAGACAAACTCTCTGTTATGGGCTCTTTAAGCTAGGGAATCATCTGGTTTAACGAGGAACTTTAGACTAGCTAATGCACCAAATGCAGCATACAATAAATGATTATTGTACTTAAGTTCGCAGTTTGCCACATAAAGATTGCATGTTATACAAATTAATAAAAGATAAAACTTTCTGTTCCCCCTGGGAAGAGCAGTTAACTCTAAAAATTAAGATATTTCTATCTTAAAAAAAATTTACAAGAATAAGATACAAATAAACATCGTAAAACATCAAAAGACAACAATCCACTCAACATGCCATCAGGCTAACTGCTTCACATAATGAACACAAATTGCAAATCAACAATTTGACAAAGTAAACTACTTCATCAGGTGCTCAATATAATGCAATATCAGACATGAAATTGGCGCACATATAAATTATCAAACTGCACACATATTTAACTCAAAACCAGCAAGGCTAAAACTTGATACTTCAGCCTCTGTGAATCAACTTGGTAGAGAAAAGGAGTTTCAAGCTGAAATTTCACCCACCTCCTCGTGCTACCCTTTCCACCAGTGCGAACCGCACGGGCCATCTTCATAAGTTTCTCCCAATTCATCTGCATAAAAAGTGGGTATTGTAAGATGAAGGGGCGAGTTTCAATTAAAATATATATTAAACAATTCAAGGGCCAAAACACTGCATCTCAAGTTACATTATTGTTATTCTGTGTATTAAGCAATAAAACCTACAAGAAGACCCAGAAATCTGTTTTACATCTCAATTTTATTATTATTATTTTTTTAATATCTCAAATAAAGAACAAATCAAGTCTATTTTCTGCTATCTTGTTTCTACAATCTCATACTATGCTTGATTTATATGTTCCATTGAGAATTAAAGTAGCAAATAAATCTTATTTCTAAACTGTATGCCTAAAACATATACATATTTTGTTCTTGTATTGGCCATTAGCCTAGCTATTCTCATTGTTAACCTTCACACTGATAGTCAGCTGAACCAAGAGCATACAGCAAAGCATGGAGCTGACCTCACAATTACAAGACCTCAACATTACTCTGGAAAATCTAAGGAAAACGACTGATTCAATATCAGGCCTACACTTGTCCAGATCTCCACATTCCTTGTAACCTTAGCTCTAGAGAGATCTACAGAAGCAGTATTCCTATCTCACGCTCTTATTCTTTCATCCTTTCTCCTAGATTTTCACACACATTCCTTGGTCATTATTAATCATTTTCCCCTTTTTTCTTTGGTTGGAAGACTCAGAACTATACTAACAATTTCCACCCATTATTTCACTATAGCAACAGTTTGATAGCACCGCATTGAAAGGTTGCTCTGAAAATGTTCTTTTACTCAAAGACTATAGGAAGTAAATATTCTAACACATTGAAATTAACAAGTTAATCCAAGTCATATCCACTCAGAAAATATCTCGAACACAGGAAAAGGACAAACAATTTAGGGAAAATGAAGTCCTGGAAGCAGAGAGCAAGTTTGTTTTGTAAATCTATAGCATATACATACTTTAGGATTTGTTCTACTGTTTTCTGTTAGTATAAGTAGCTATATGCAGGCTTAGTCCATTTTCAGACAAAACTATTTCAAAAGATTATATTCTAAGAGCAATTTTTGTGCAACTTCATTGTTATGGACCGCATAGTTAAAGAAAATCTCAAATTTGGGGATAACCTGACCAACACACTGTATTAAACATATACAATATGTGGACTTGAACCTACAGCAGAAACCATCTAAGCACAACAAGATACCTCCCTCAGTTACGAAACATGTTGATTTAGAGTGTGCATTTTCATAGCATACAGAAGCTTACTTGTCTGTTTTCAGTACATTATCCGGAGTTATCTGTTTAATTTTATAGAATAGCACTAGGTGACTAGGTTCATTTCATTCTGAAAACAATAAAATCTGACAGAGCAGTTTAAATAGAGGACATAAAATTACAGCACATCCTGCAAACTACACAAACAAGACGTAACAAGAGAATTACTCTCTCTCCTCCTACCTAATACAAGAACTATGAACAGAGATAGTATGACGCAGTCAAATTTAAAACTTTGAGAATGCCACCAATTGCTTGTTTTTCCTCATCATTAATTGAACAACTTATTTACGAACAACTTAAGAAGATTCACAACCCAAAAATATCATAGTAAATCCTGCATTTATGTATTTGGAAATGGAAAAGTTTTTTTTGGACAAGTACATAACCAAAATGTAATAAGAGAACAGCTCACCTCCTACCTCATTGAATGATTGAACCAAGCACAAAATAATTTAGACTTTCTAGAATCTTTTGCTGATGGCTCATCGTCGTCATCTTAGCTATCACTTCCCGGTTCATTGTTGGCATCAGAGCTACCAAATAAACATTCAAGGCCCCACCCAATTCCAATACCAATGCCATCCCTTGAAGTTGATGATTTAGCAAAGCTTAGACGTTTGAGGTTTTTCATAACAAGCGGCAGCTCTCTCATTGCACTTCCGTCTGAATAAAGTTCCTCTAAAGACTCCCAGAAGAATAAACCCTAAATTCAAAGGAAGAGGATGCTTACCGTTAACTGATATGAGAGAGAGAAACCCAGCGGAGAGAGAGCTCAGTTCGATTTCTATGGAGAAAATGAACGAGAGAGACAGAGACAGAGAGCGCTGAGTTCGGGGGAGTTGGGCGAAAGTGCGAATAGAAGGAGAGGACAGGGATAAGAAAGTATTTATACGCGTTAGTTTTGTATGGTTTAAAAAAGTTGTTATTTTACCAATGTTTATTCTATCTCGAAGAAAAGTATGGATGTGTACCAAATTCCACACTTTGGATGTAGCGAGAACTCTAGAAATTCAGATAACATTGTTGTTTGGGCCTAAATTTGGCACGCCTAGTCCAGAAGCCAAAAGCCCGCATCATTATCAGGCCATCTGTTTGGACCTAAAAAATAGAAGCTCTCGGCCCATCAAACGCATCCAGCCCATTATCAGAAAGCCAAAGCAATGTACTCGGCCCAAAACATTGAAGGCCTGAAAGCAGTTAAAGGAAGGCAATCTCATAAAAGACAGACCCACGTGACCTCCCAGCTTGGAAAAGTCAACAATTTTAACTAAGAAACAATTAGCAGGACGTCTCTGAGAAAGTCTCTGCCATTAGAAGATCAGAAATCCTGGTCAGAGTCTTTTTATAAAAGAGATATTTTTCCCAAAGAGAAAGAAGGCACCGTTTCCAAGAGATAAGCAGATTGAGCTTTCTAAAAGAGATAAGCGGGAAACAGGGAACTGCTCAAAAGCTGAGAACTAGCCATCTCAAAACCACAGGCTTTCGCAGAAGTAGGTGAAATGGAAGAACAGGCATGGCACCCCATCAAAAACGCAGAAGTAGTCACCTCAGGAACTGATCGATGAGTGTTTACCTGCCAGAAAATGGATGGAACCCCTGTTTGTTTCAATTAAAAAATTGGAAGATCTTTCGATTACTTGCCGCCCACTCTCAAAACATTCCCTATATATACAAGAGAGGGTGAACAGAGCAACACACACAACCAATCAAACAAACAAAAACTCAGTCAAAAGACAAACACTCAAATGATCACTTGATCACAAAAATCCCAGACCCAGAGTCTGAAGCATTTCAATTACAAAAGCTTCTCAACAAGCCTGCAGAATCATCCTGCTCTCTCCCAGCAAAGACAGCTAGAATACTGTTTCTGATTTAAATCCCAGTTCATAAGTCAACAATAACAAGATTTCTCTCGTTACAAATTTGGTTCAGCAAAAGCCAAGACAAGCAGAGTTTGAGTTTTCTCAAATACGAAAACCTCAACAAATTTATGGAAAGCCCTGACTAAGCAGCACAGGTAGTACAACACACCTCCAGCTTAAGTCCAGCCACTTCTGTCCCTTTCAGACTGGAGAAATCCCAGTTCTGCCCATCTAAAAGCCGTCCAGGGCTTGAAATAGATTAAAGCTCTGCCAAACTCAAGCTTTGGTATCGATTTGCAGCCGAAGCCTAACAGTTGAAGCTGTTTGAAGTCCAGTCCAGCACAAACACATCCAGTCCAGCCCAGAATAGAGCCAACTACCCAGGCAGAAATGGAAGCACAGCCCTCCTTTTGTCTTTGTATAGTCAGTTTTCCCTTTTTGAGTCTTGTAAAAGGGAGTTCTGCCTGAAAATAGTTCAATCTGTTATCAATTATGCTGGCCAGAACTGCCGGTTTTATACTGAGAAAAATTGTGAAGTCCTTACCAGTCTAAGGCATAGAAAAGAACTTACTTGGGAGATATTCCTCACCCAAATTCACAATCGTTTGTTCAAAGTCAGTAGCTTGGGGCGCAAGTTATTACTTTCAAGTCTGTTAGAATTGAAAAGTTGCTAACAGTGGCACGCTCGACACATAAAGAAAGTTAATTTATTGACCAAATCATGGTCTTTGAATTAATGGGGAACTTCACCCTATCATCTCAGGAAACAAATACAAACGGGTTAACAATTGTACAGTTAAATTGTTTGTTTCAACTATTAAAAATTCATCAGTCCCGATCTCTTGTACTATTACAATTCATATATCTCAATTGTCTAGTTGCATTAATACTTACATGCGTACAAAAAAAAAAAGCATATTGGAGTCCAACCACGCTCTGCAGCCGCCGACCCCCTTTTGGGGGTCGGTGGCTTCCCCATCTTCCATCTTTCTCTCCTCATCTCCCTTTCTCCTTTCCTAGTTTTATTCCCCTCTCCTCTTCTCTCCCCAGATTCGTTTGGATTTTGGGTCCTCTTGCCCAAATATATATGGATCTTGTCTTTCGTATGTTTGTTTGTGTGTTTTCTGTTGTAGGTCCTTGGTGACTTTCGTTGTTCTTGGATGTGTCTTGCTGTCGCTGGGATGGTTGCGGTGTGGTGTTGTCGACCCAACTTTTTTCTTTGGCTTTCGTTGCGTTTTTGAAGCAAGTACTGCAATCCATCGTAGACGCCATGATTTTGTTGCAGCTTTTGGTCCACTCACATGGATTCTGCTCCAGTTCAGTGTTAGGAGTTGGAAAAGTGATTGTTGCTGGTTTGTGTGGGATCGGGTTTTGCCTGTGCAAAATAAGAGGTTTAGCCATGTTGGTGCTACGAATCTCTTTGGTTTGCTGGAGAGGATGTGGTGCGGTGCCTTTGTTTCTGTGTTTATTTTAGTCTAATAACTCTCATAAACTCAATAGAAGTTTGCTGATGTTTGTATTTAGTGTTCGACTTTTCGATGCGGATTTGCTGGTACTGCCGTTGTGCGGTGGATCTGTATTGTAGGTTTGAGTACAGGTGCTTTTGTCTGCCGAATTGGAGGTTTTAGGTTTTTCTGCTATGCGTAATTCTCTCCAGATCAAACCAATTTATTTTTGTGTTTGGTCACTGGAGATGTTGTACTCATTTTCGGCATTGCGGCTACTCTGTACTTTTTTATGTGTTATCAATAAAATTCTACCACTTTTAATCAAATAAATAAATAAATAAATAAAAATAAAACAGTATTTATTATTATTATTAATGTTTCACCTTTTAAGCTCTCTACTTGTTAATGATTAATAATACATTTTTTTATAACTTTAATTCACTAATGAAACCATGAAAGAAAGAAAACTCTAATTAATTATTAAGAGCGAATCAATACAACAAACAAACAATCAATAATGAAACATTGATGTACACTGTAAAAGTAAACACAAAGTAAAGAGCAAAAGGAACAAAGACAAAAATATATACAAAAAGAAAAAACTGAAATGAAAAAGAGGAGAAAAAGCAAGATTGGGAAAGAGAAAGAAAAAAAGAGAAAAACAAATTGGAAACAATATGTCTAATATAAAACAAACAGAGAAAAACAAATTGGAAACAGTATTGCGTTTGAAATGTCCACTGATCTGTATTGGGGATTGTGGGCTTTATCGGGTAGCAGCTCCATTGCTTGCTGTTGGCCCTGTTTATTTTAATATGTTTAATATAAATAATAAAAAAATCCTTAAATGAAACGGCGTCGTTTCTCCGTGAATCAAAAGACTAAAAAAGGAAGCACTCTGCGTGCAATGCTGCTTGCTGCGCTGAAGTTGAAGTTGCTGCAACCCTTTGAAGCATTTCCTCGAACAGATGGTGGGCATGAATTGCCCAGCCATCTAGCCATTGCAGGGGTCAATTTTTCTTTCTCTAGTGGCGGATTTAGGAGTTGCAGGGGTCACTTGACCACCCTTGCTCTTCTGTGGATCCGTCCCTGGTTGCTACTAATATCCATATACTGCTGGCATTAGGATTTTCAATATTCAGTTGAATTCTTCCAAACGGGCTCCACATTTCGAAGATCCGTTTAAAAAATATTGTGTTTCAAATGAAAACCGTTTAAATAATATATACGCTCCCACAAATGACACGGTGACTAGATCCATTTCATTTCGAAAACAATAGATAAAACCTAACACGGCAATTTAAATGGTAGCACAAGTTGGACGGTAAGAAATAAAAACAGAGATGCTATGATGAAATCAAATTGGAAACTTTGAGAATTTGAAACTAAGCTTTAATGAGAATTTACTTGATCTTATCAAATGATTAAAATCTAATTAACTCTAGATTTATTAGCTTTAACACACTAAGTAAAAAAGAGTAGCATTGTTGAAAAAGATTCTGTTACTCCAGTAAGTAAATAATAATATTCCAAGACGTTGAAATTAAGAATATTCAAAACCCAACAATATTATAGCATATCCTGCATTTATGTATTTGGAAATGGAAATCTATATAACCAAAATATAATAAGAAAAAACTCAGTCAGATCAATAAGTTTGAGAGCAAATTAAACAACTAAAACAAATAGCTCAAAGAAAACTGAAAAGAAAAGGTGAATTACTGAAATTCCCTAGAATGGCCAACCGATCTGTTTCTTAATACTTAAACACCACAGCAGGATTGAAACACTGCAACAATCCTGTAAACAGAAAACTCCAGAATACGCAGCGGAATATATTCAAATAAAAACGCAAACAATTGCAAAAGGGACACACGATATGTTGACGCAGTAAAAACCTCAAGATGAGGAAAACAACTGCGGGCACTATGCCGGAGAACAAATCACTATGAGAAAGAATACAAAAAGGTCTTACAAGTCTCAACTCACAAAACTAACGCTCACAAGGCAGACTTGCCTACTCGCCTTTGCTACTCAACCCAATCAGCGATCTTGTCTTCCTTCGTCAACAAGAGATGGCACAACTCTGGTCTCGGCTGCTCACACCTCAAGGCACGACTGCTGATCACCAACATGCATAATGCTCATGAACTCACACATATATGAAAAAGATGATGATTTAATCACTCATGGAAGCTAACAAGGAACAGCCACATGAGTTTTCAATATGAACTCTCAAAAAACTCTCTGCAAGAATATTTTTGTCGTTCTATACTTTTCAACGCTGCAGACACCCAACAAAACGGCTAAAAAACCTTTCTTAAATTCCACGCTTAAAAACTAGGTCAGAGACCAAAAAAAGGCTTTTAGCAAAAATGGGCTTTTTAACAAATAAATTATTTCTTTAAAACAAATAAAGTCACTTAATTAAAAACCCAGCTGTAAAGACAAAAAAACCTTTTTGCTTAAATAAACATCAAACTAAAGATTATAAAACCATCATTAAAAACTCACTGATGTCTGGCACTGGATTACATAAGACTGAAACCATATATCAGTCCTGTACGTCTGATAGCCACTTTTGATGATCTTGCAAATATGCAAATATGAATGCATGGATGCAAAACATACCTTGGCATTGTCTCTGAGTCACACTAATCCAGGATAGCAGAACGTCACTTGAAACTGGAAGTTACACTCAAAGACCTACTCTATGTTTTTGTAACAGGAAATTGCCAATATACCAAAAATTGGTCCTAACAATCTCCCCCTTTGGCATTTCCTATACAAATACTCTAGTTACAAAAAAAATGGTCCTAACACTCTCCCCCTAAACCAATTACAAGTGAGTGAAAAAAATTCCTCAAACATGATCACTTGCAATATAGAAGGTAACCTGAATTCTGCACCACTAAACCAAAAATAACCAGTGAAAAGCATGTATGACTGAAAATACAATAAGTAATGACTCAGAACATTTACTCCCCCTTTTTTGGATAGGCAATGACAAACTCCCCCTCAAGTAAATAACCACTTGCACATCAAATAACCACTCCCAGAAAGAACAATGGAGGCAAAAGTTCCAAATTATGAATTCTCCCATGAATGTATGAAAAAAAAACACAGGTAAGAATGAATGAGCAATGAGGCACACAAGATATGAATTTTTCAAACCAGTGTCACAAACACGATTTCTAAGCAAAGCTTGTAAGGAGATATCAAGTCAAAATTGAAGAGTAACAATGAGAACCCACAGCATCAAGTGTTTTTAAATATCTCTGCATGTTAGGCAACAACATATAATCAAGGTTAGCAAAAGTTCACAGGAGTTCTTAGTGTGAAAGTGAACCAATAGAGATAGGAATGACAATGCACACAAGCTTACTTCAACAGATTCACAATTGTGCTGTATTTTTTTTTTTTTTTTTTCTTCTTATGGAGCACAAGCCACAACTTTATCAAGCTTTCTAGTGACCTGTAACAAGTCTTAGGCCAGATGCTCCCATGGCAGAGGACTTTAGGGCACTAAGTATATCAAGGATACTCCATGGGCTTAGCAACTCGAGTCAAAAGGCTTCAAAGTTGGGACTTCTTTTTTTAAAAAAATTTAAATGGACCAAGCCATCCCGTATTCGACGCGACCCTCGACACTGGTTAGGTAAGAGGTCCGGCTACTTTGGGATAACCTGAGTCAAGCTCCAAAGATATCTTTCATTTTTGTTTAAATTAAAATCTTGCAACATAGGCATTCATATAGCTCATATTGGTGTGCGTGTGCAAGAACCAGGAAAGCCTATGAGTATTTTGGCTAAGCAAGGATTAATGCTATAGACTAACATGGAGAAAATATCTATCAACTGAGAGCATGTGTCTCACAGTGCAATGATGTACTACAGTGCAATGATGTACTACAGTGCAATGATGTACTACAAAGCTACAAAAATAAAACAGAAAAAGACCATAATCTAATAAACCTATTCGACATGGGCATACAACAATGAAATTTGAATGCAAAAATAAAAAATAAAAAGTTAGAGAGAATTCATTCAATGGAACAAATACCAAGAGACTTCCTGAGAGTTTCAAAACGAACAATGTCTAATGGTTTTGTAAACAAATCAGCCAATTGTTTTTCTGTGCAAACAAACTCAAGACTTACTACCTTTTCTTCAACCAATTCACGAATAAAATGATGCCGAATATCTATGTGTTTTGTTCGTGAATGTTGAACCAGATTTTTGGAAATATTTATTGCACTCAGATTATCACAAAAAAGAGTTGAAGTACCTTGTTGAATGCCATAATCACTCATCATTTGCTTCATCCATAGTAATTGTGTGCAACAACTTCTGGCAGCGATATATTCCACTTCAGCTGTAGACAAGGAAACACAAGCTTGCTTTTTGCTATGCCAAGACACAAGATTATTACCTACATAAAAGCACCCTCCAGATGTGCTCTTCCTATCATCAACATTTCCAGCCCAATCTGCGCCGGTGTAACCTGCAATTTCAGAATTTGAGTCAAATGAATAATATATACCTAAAGTTGGAGTACCACTTACATATATGATGATTCTCTTGACTGCATTCAAGTGCGACTCCTTTGGATTTGCTTGAAAGCGAGCACACACACCAACACTGAATGAGATGTCAGGTCGACTGGCTGTTAAGTATAAGAGACTTTCAATCATGCCTTACATATCTGATGATTCTCTTGACTGCATTCAAGTGCGACTCCTTTGGATTTGCTTGAAAGCAAGCACACACACCAACACTGAATGAGATATCAAGCCGACTGGCTGTTAATGTTAAATATAAGAGGCTTCCAATCATGCTTTGGTAAAGTGTTTGTTCTACACATTTTCCAGATGGGTCAGCATCAATTTTGTTGTGTGTAGCCATGGGATTCCTTGTTGGTTTGGCAGAGCTCATACCAAATTTCTTTACCAAGTCATTTGCATACTTGGTTTGAGAAATAAAGATACCATGATCTTGTTGCTTGACTTGCAGACCTAGGAAATAGTTCAGCTCCCCACACATACTCATCTCAAATTCGCTGCTCATAACTTCAGTAAATTCTTTTACAAGCAATTCAGACGTAGACCCAAAAACAATGTTGTCGACATAAACCTGGGCAACAATCAAATCCTTTTTGGTCTTTTTGACAAACAAAGTTTTGTCAACAGCTCCTCTGACATACCCTTTATTCAGCAAATGGGATGACAACCGATCATACCAAGCCCTAGGGGCTTGCTTAAGCCCATAGAGAGCTTTTCTAAGACGATATACATGATCAGGATTGTAAGGATCTTTGAATCCTACAGGTTGTTCTACATATACCTCCTCCTGTAAAACCCCATTTAGGAACGCACTTTTCACATCCATCTGGTGTAGTTTGAACCTCAGATGACAAGCTATGGCTAAAAGTAATCTAACTGATTCAAGCCTTGCCACCGGAGCAAAAGTTTCATCGAAATCCAACCCTTCAACCTGGGTATATCCCTGTGCAACCAGCCTTGCTTTATTTCTTGTAATAACACCATTTTCATCAGTTTTGTTTCGGAAGACCCATTTAGTACCTATCACATTCGAGTCCTTGGGACGTGGAACCAAGTACCACACATCATTTCTTGCGAATTGATCTAACTCCTCTTGCATAGCCATGATCCAATCACAATCAAGGAGTGCTTCTTTTGAATTTTTTGGTTCCAATTTGGAAAGATAGCACAGATGAGTTACCTCTGCAACGACTTGACTTCTTGTCTTTCTTTGATCATTTAAATCTCCAATAATATCAGAGGGTGTGTGGTCTTTTTGGACTTGCCGAGCACCAGGTCTAGGAGGAGGTGAAAACATATCTTCTTCTACATGCACTTCATTATTAATGTCAGCAACCTTGTCCTTTTCTTCTTGCCTAGGAGCTGCTGGAATAATATCCTCATCATCATCTGCACAAGAACCAAATGACATATCATTATCATTGACAACAACATTAATTGATTCCATCACTGTACATGTCCTATTGTTAAACACCCTATAAGCCCTGCTAGTGAGAGAATAACCCAAAAAGATGCCAGTATCACTTCTTGTATCAAACTTTGCTAGGTTTTCTCTATCTCTATAAATATAACAGATGCTGCCAAAAACCCTCATGTGCTTTATGTTAGGTTTTCTTCATTTCCAAAGCTCATAAGGAGTTGAAGTTGTGCCCGGTCTAAGATATACACGATTTGCTGTATAACACGCTGTACTAATAGCTTCTGCCCAAAACTTTTTCGCTATCTTAGCACTTGTCAAGATCACACGGCCCATTTCAAGCAAGGTGCGATTCTTCCTCTCAACCACCCCATTATGTTGAGGTGTAATAGGTGCTGAAAATTCGTGCTTTATTCCTTTCTCTTCACAATATTCAGCAAAGCTTACATTTTCAAACTCCGTTCCATGGTCTGTTCGAAGTCTCATGACAGTAACATGCGAATCATTTTTCTCAATCTGAATTTTGTTGCATAAGCCACGAAAACTCTTGAATGCATCAAATTTTTCACGAAGAAAATCAACCCAAGTAAACCGAGTGAAGTCATCCACCAACACCAACATATACTTCTTTCCACCTATGCTCTCAGTCTGAACAGGACCAACTAAATCCATATGCAGCAAGTCTAATGGCTGAGATGTTGATATGTAGGATATGCTTTTGTGAGCACTCTTGACTTGCTTACCTAATTGGCATGCACCACACACTCCTGCAGACTTACCACTTAGCTTTGGCAAACCTCTGACACACTCCTTCTTGGACAACTTCAAGAGATCACGAAAGTTGATATGACCAAGTCTTCTATGCCATAGTTCCATCACGTCATCTGTAGCTCGGTTGCACACAAGACTTTTATTCTCATTCACCTGAATACAATAGCAATTATCCTTGGATCTCATACCACTCATAACCTTCTTTCCTTGCAAATCAGCAACATAGCATTGATCTTTATCAAACCACACACTGCCACCATCATCACAGAGTTGACTGATGCTTATCAAATTTGCCTGCAAATTTTCCACCAGCATGACATTCTTTAAGAACGGTAAGCCAAGTGTCTCAACATCTCCTTTCCCTAAAATTTTACCTATACTTCCATCTCCAAATGTCACAGAGCCTTCCACACACTGGGTATTCAGATTTGTAAACCAACATTTATCACCGGACATATGTCTTGAACAACCATTGTCGAAATACCATGTATCAGATTTTCTAGCAGATAAAGCAGTTAAAGTCACCAAGCATATTTCCTCTTTTTTTCTCCACACTAGTTTGGTTCTTTGAGATGGATTAAAATTTCTTGGAGAATAACAGTAAGTTGACCTCTTCTTTTTTCTAAGCATATTGCATCTAGGCCGTAAGTGACCTAAAACTCCACAAAAATGACAGATTGGTATAAATTTCTTTGGGCTAACCTTCACTTCAGTAGAAGAAGATTCTTTGATGAATTTTACAGCTTGAACCGCTTGCTTAGACCTTTCACTTTCAAAACCCAAGCCTCTCGTATCACCAGCCCTTTTTCCCAGACTTAACATCTTGTCAATCTTCTCTGCGCCAATGGTCATACCAAATATTTTTTCCGTTGCTAATTTTAATTCAGCACTAGCATGGTCCCTTTCGAAAGTAAGAGAAACATTCATATCTTTCTGCAGCTGGTACTTGTCTTGGAGCATCTGAATTTTTTCAAGTAAAGACCCACGCAAATTTTCTTCTGTTTTCAGCTGGGATTGAAAGGCAGCTTCAGTCCTGGTCAGTTCTTCTTGTAGAAAGACCACTTGATCAGCAAGCTCTGCATTTTCCTTCTTCAGTTTTTCAGAGGAATCATAGAGACTGTTGAATTGCTTCATCACCACTTCTATCTCAGGTTCTTCAACATCAGAATTTTCATCTTTTTGCACATGAATTCTCCCAGAGAAAGCAATAACTTGATCTTCATTGTCTGAATTTGAATCATTATCAGACTCACTGTCACTCCAAGTTGCTGCCATTACTTTATTTTTCCCACTATTTTGCTTCCTCAAATTATTTGCGCATTCAGAGGCAAAATGTCCATATCCACCACATTCAAAGCACTTCAGTGAATCTTTAGAGCCCTTTTTCTCCATAGTTCTGGTTGTATGTGATAACTTGTCAGAAGTAAACTCACGAGGACGACTCCCCCTTGTACTTGAACCTGAATTTCCTCTCTGTTCACCAGGTCTTGAATTCTTAGATTTTAAAAACTTACGAAATTGTTTTGTAAGCAAGGCATAATCCATTTTGTCTTCGGACACATTGTCACTCCCATCTTCTTTCACTGTATTTAGAGCAATGCCCTTGCTTTTCTTTATTTCTGGAAATTCCATCTCATAAGTGGTAAGAGAACCAATTAACTCAGTAAGTTTATAATTATTCAAATTCTTACACTCTTCAATCGCTGTCTTCTTGGCGTGATACATCATAGGCAGAGATCTCAAAATCTT